GGCAATCCAAGCGCTGAGTCGAAATGCGGAACTTGCAGCTCGAATATTTACAGCCTTAAATTCCGCCCCCCTTGGCGAAATGTTCCCTGTTTTAAGAGAAGCAGCGCTCAATTACGAGCGAGTTTTTAATACTATGAAAAAGGCAGGGGAAAAATATAATGTACCGCAATACCGCGGGCATCCAACTGGACGGTGGAGCATAGAAAATAGGGGTAGTCGGAACTACAGAAAGGACTGGCGTGCTGAACAGGGTAGCCTTCGACCAAGTAGGCTAGAAAATAGCAGTGAAGGCAAGCACCCCGCACTGCCAACCGATAGGAGAGAGGAAAATAAACGGAAGAACTGGAGTATTGGCGATGCAACCGCCAGTTTTAGCAGTACGTGGTATAGGGATAATAGAGCACCACAGACGAGCTGGAAACGGGAAGAACAATCCACAATTTGCGCGGTTTGTAAAGGCAGAGGCCATGTTTCCAGAGTTTGTCCCTCTCGCGCTGTGGAAAAAGTCGCCATGCAGAGTCCGGTAAATTGTGATTATCTGATTACACTCAGGCTAAATAAAGTGTCGGAATCTGAGTTCCCCGAGCCAGCGGATAAAATCGTAGGAGGCCGAATGGATGTATCTGTTCTTTGTGATGGAGTAAGCATGACCGCTTTATTGGGTACAGGAGCAATGGTTAGCCTCATTACTGCGGCCGCCGTCCGAAAATTGGAACAGAAATGGGGTGACAGTTATCTAACCTTTTAAATTACTGAGACAAATCTGGGCCCAGTTTGCGATGCGTCAGGAAATACTATGATAATATCCGGACGAGTGATTGTAAAAGTCAAGTGGCTTAACGAAGAAAAAGATTTGGTGTGTCTTATCCACGAGAACTGCAAGGGAAACGATGATTTGATTTTGGGTACCAACGCCCTAGCTTCATCGAAAAAGTGGGGTGAAGAGATGCTGCGATTGCTCGGTCAGATGCAACAGCATTTGGTAGGAAGTGCCTCATGTGCAGGAAGGGTGTTGATACCGCCGTACTCAAGGCGTGTGGTGAAAGCCATTTCCACAAATAAGCATATTGTTTGGGGATACCTAACCTTCTGTCGACCATTTACGCAGGAAGGTTTAGTAAAACTGGATAGAGATGCTTATTGTGTGGAGATTCGCAATGACTCGGACGAACCCAAGTTTGTTAGGAAAATGAAAAGCTGGGAGATATTTCCATGAGTCAAGTAATGGATGTGTCAAGTGAGGAAGGAAAATTCGACGCTAAACAGCGTGCGAGAGACTTGAATTCGGACGAGCGCGTTAACAAAATTTGGAAGCTGCTCGGTATCGAGGAACTACAAATCCAGGTTTTAAAGAAGCAGCGCTTATGGAATATATTGCGTCTGTTTTCCAATACTTCTGCTTTAAACGATAATGAGTTGAGTAGGGCAGAGGGTGTGATTTGCGACGTAGACGTAGGAGATGTCAGGCCAATACGACAAAATCCTGGGCTGGTTCCTTTACCATTGCGAGATACTGTCAAGGCGATGCTACGTGATTATCTAAGGCGAGATGTGATTCGTCCTAGTTCTAGCCCCTGGAGTAGCCCTATTGTCTTGGTGAAAAAGCATGATGGGATGTTGAGATTTTGTGTTGATTATAGGCGAGTAAATCAGATAATAAAGCTTGATGTATACCCTCTCCCACATATTGATACCTTGCTGCACAGCCTCCAAGGTAAAACGTGGTTTTCTAAATTTGATCTCATGTGCGGGTATTGGCAGTGTGCCATG